CAAATTGTATCAGATTACTCTTTTTATTCCTCTTCTTTCTTCTTCTAGTTGAGCTCTGATCATCCAGTTATTGAAGCCAGGTCAAATAGGTATTATCTGCAAGTGTGGGTGTTCTTGTGCATATATGCCCTAGCTTCTTATCAGCTGGACACTTCATTCTCCACTCCAGTCCTCTGTGACTATGTCACTGACTCTGGGCCCAAGTGTCCCCAAGTCTTGCCACACTGCTGGCCAAATAGGTCTCTACCCAGGTTCACAAGAGTCTATTGAACATTGTAGGGCTTAGCTTGCAGCTTCATTGCTGTTTTTCCCTCACTTCCCCTTATCAGTGATGAGCGTGGTCACCAATCAGTGTGCATTCCCAGTGAGTCTTAGTCTTAGAAGGGCGGTTACACTGAGGGAACCCGAACACTTGCCTTGATGTCTCCTGGGCAAGCAACTTGTTTCTTCTTGTAGTAACAGTCGATCTGCCTATATTGTTTTGCATTTTTCCTGTAGGTCTTTCTTTCAAGAAGTATCTTCTGTTCTTCTAGCCGCTCCAGGCTGGTTAACTTTTTACAATTGTGGTCTCACACATTATTTGTTCTTTTGTGATTGACTAATTTCACTCACCATAATGTCCTCCAGATTCATCAATGTTATGTTTCACAAATTTGTCATTATTGTTCAATGTTATAAAGTATTTTTTTGTGCATATGTGCCAAAGTTTGTATCCATTCTGCTATACTGTTTCTTGATTGGTACATTCAATCCATTTACATTTAGTGTAATTATAGATAGGTATCAATTAACTGCTGTCATTTTGATGCATGTTTTCCTATGGGTTTTCTAGTTTCTTTATTCTGCATAAATTTCTGCACTGAGTTCATTCAGTTTGTGGATTTTCTTTTCATTTTCTTCATTACTGTTGTTTTAATATTTACTGTGTTTCTGATTTTTCTTTTTTTATTTTGGTGTGAAGGTGTATTAATTTTATTAGAGGTTATCCTGCCATTTATTAACTTTTTCCCCAGTAAAAGTCTTTTTTATCTTGAAATCTACCTGACTTCCTCACTAATTGGAAGTTCTGTACCTGTACTACTCACTCTTTTTGCTCTGTAGTTAACTGAGTTATAAATTGATATATCTGGTTTCCTATTTTCAGTCTTGCAGGTTTTCTTTATTTTGGATATTTCTATATCTGGATCGAATTCTGACTGGTGGTGTCATGTATGTTTAATATCAAGTTGTTGTCTATTGTTGGTGCTCACACCAAAGAGCACCCTTTAGTAGTTTTTATTAACAAATTCCTTTAATTGATGTTTATCTGAAAATGTTTTAATTTAATCATCATATTTGAGATACAGTTTTGCTGGGTATATGATCCTTGGATAATTGTACTTCTGAGAAATCTGTACGTGGACCAAGAAGCAGTTGTTCGAACAGAGTATGGGAACACTGAATGTTTTAAAATTGGGAAAGGTGTGCGACAGGGTTGTGTTCTTTCACCATATTTGTTCAATATGTATGCTGAGCAAATAAAATGAGAAGCTGGGTTGTCATATTATTTGAAGTAAAACGTGGTGTCAGGATTGGAGGAAGACTTATTAACAACCTGAGATATGCAGATGATACAACCTTGCTTGCTGAAAGTGAAGAGGACTTAAAATAGTTACTGAT